TAATAGTGAAATTGGACTATATTTATAAACAATATGCATATTTAATAATTGGGCATGAACATAAATTTAAAATAAAGAACTTTTGCTTGAATTGTAAGTTAAATCAATAATTTCTGAACTGATTCGATTTATAATCAAATAATTAAATCTATTAAAGTCAGAATACAGGTAATAAAATATGCATAAAACAAAAATAAACTTTTATTTTATGTATATTTAATATATCAAATAATATATATGTTTTTCATATACATTTTGACTATTCTGAATCAAACTCTGAATTTTATACGCATTTGATATGTCGAATAATATATACATTTTCATATACATTTTGACTATTCTGAATCAATCAAACTCTGAGTAGTTATTTTTAATTATGTTCAAATAAATTAAATAATACCATTTCATTTTATTCACATTTTGTTTAATCAAATGAATTGATCATTAGTTTGTTTTATACTATTTGATTATCTTCGAATAATTGTTAAACCAGATCCCTGAATTAAAAGTGAATAAACATATTTATAAGTTGTCATCTTTCCTATTAGCTATTTAAAGTTTTCATAATTAATATTTTGTCAAAAAATAAACTAAAAATTTGAACCAAATTACTTATCTGATTATTGAAATATTAAAATTGCTCTCAAGCCAAAATAAATTCTATCAATTAGATCAAAACTTCAAACCTACATAATTTTCCATAATAAATCACACTTAGAATAATGCCTATCTGTAGCACTTGTATAGGTATTCTCTCTTCTGATGCATTCTTATTTAAAGGTAAATATTATAATACTTGTAACCACTGCAGAATTTTGAGAGCTGAAAAAAGAAATTCCAAAAAAAAATAAATCACTTGATGATTCTGATTTTGAACAAGCATTTATCGAAATAATTTCTATCCAAGAAATTAGTAATTATATCGCCAATACAATTAATGATTTTAATGATCATGCTGAACTTTCTCTTACCTTCTGTGTTTGACTTGATGAGGCAACTATTAAAGATATTGATACAAATGTTAGAATTAAGGCCAAATTAATTATTGAAGAAATAGAAGAAGGCGATAACTATAACTGGACATATGTTAATTTTAATTATACAGCATAAATTTTTGCTTAAATACATGTATTTGCATATATGCTTGTTGGTCAAATCTAAATAATTATAGAGTTATTCAATAAAATAGTTCAAAGTCTAAAAAAAATAATTCTACAACAAATATATACTAAAATCAATAAATTTTATCTAAGTATTATAAAGTATTATTAACTTTATAATAATTAATTGCATTTGCTAATAAAGCTACAACCACACCAAACCTCTCAGCTCATTATTCCAGTATTGGAAATGCTTATTTTGCATGCTCTCAAAGTTTTGAACTCGAGTATGAATTCAAGAATTCAAGTTGTAAAAGAACCTTCCATTATAACTATAATGATAAAATATCAATTAAAATTGATATCCCAGCAACAGAGACAAAAATAATTTTAAAACACAAATTTCTTCATGAAAGACTCATTAATTTTACAATTCCATCTGAAATAAAGCAGGAAATTAGTAAAAATTTGGACTTAAATCCTGTAGAATTGTGAAAATATTTTCATAAAAAGTTTGACTTATCTAATGTTCTATCAAAGCAAATTTATTATTGGTAGTTGTATCATATACAACAGTTCTATAGAAGTGACAAAAATCATATTGTTTTAGCACGTAAGTTTTTTAACTAGCAACAAAAAAATGAATATGAATTATGCTATCAGCTTGAATCTGAAAATACAATAGCCATTGGCTTTACAACTAAACTGCTTAACCAGAAACTGCTTAACCAGTCAAATTATTCAGAAATACATTGTAATACTATTTATAAGACTTTCAAGGGAAAATTTGAACTTTATAGCATTGTTGGTAATTTCAAAGGTACTAGTTTTCCCTTGGCGTATTTAATTTTAGATATATTAAAAGCTTAAAAAAATAAAAATCAGGAAGGATTATAAACCAATGCACTAGCAGGCTTTTTTTATTCTCTTCGCAATAAAGGCCTAAACCCAACCTATTTTTATATGGATGAAGACTTCGCTGAGATAAATGCTACAAAAAATGTGTGGTCTACAAGTGACATACAGCTTTGTTAATAGCACATTAACAAAGCTCTTAAAGAAAAATTAAAAAGTCGTAAAAAAATTAAGCAGTTAAACTATAATTATAAGGAAGTTATAAAAGAAGAATTTACTTTTGTAAAATCTTTTTTTATACCTGATTTGCAGCATACAGATAGTGAATACTATATAGTTTGCCCCCCTGCCTTTCATGAAACTGTTGTTAAAATAGTTAAAAACCATTTTAATATGCATTCTAAAATATCTACTAATAATGGTCAATTTCTTTCTCCTAAAGAAATAAGAACAAAAGCGGTTTTTGAAATATATGAATTTTGTATTACAAATAATCTAGTATTGTTATGGATCTACCTATGGTCTTCTTGGTATAAATCAACATGGTAGTGTTTGTGAGCACGTTCTTCAAGAACGACTATACCACTTGGCAAAACTAATATGATGATCGAGACACATTGGAAAGTTTTAAAATATTGTTACCTCTACCAATTTAACTACCCACGACTTGACTATCTAATATAGATTATTTGTATATGTGTTGTACCTGATCAAGCTAATCGTCTTTAACAATTATTAACTAGCAGAATAACGCCATTATGGTTCAAAGAATTTAAGAAAGAATGGAGAAATCTTCTTACCAAGCTAGTTAATACTACAGAAAGTCAATATTTTATTGATTTAGAATATTAGATTTGTAGCTGTCCATCGTTTCTTCAAAGCCACTTCCTCATATGCAAGTATCTAATTTACAAAGCATTAGAAAAATTAGGACCTCAAGGTATTCGACTAATTTATTCAAATTTTAAACAACAAACTGATTATCATTTTTTAATTTGGAACTGAAAAGAATTACAAAATATATCTGAAAGTGTAGAAGCTTTTAGAATACATAATAAGGTTAATATGTTCAATCAAAACCTTACAAATAAAAATGAAGAAGATATTACTGAAAGATGTCAAAAGATAGAATTAAAAATAGTGGCGTTGTAGCATTTGGTTGACTATATTAATGAGGAATTGAACACAAATAATTTTCAGCATATAGAAGCTATTATTAACAATTTAGACCATGCTTTTACAATTATCTCAGATATTGAAAAAGTAAAAAACCAAAGAGTGTGATATATAACTTGGCGTGATTCGAAACCTTGGATATTATTTCTAAATTAAATAATATAAACTTTTAATACTATTATTAATGTTAAACAAAGTCTATTACTATAATAATAGTAAAGTTTTGTCTTAATTAAAATATAGTACTTTATTTTAAACAATTATATCTGCAAAACTATTGTCTTCAAATCTGGATCTTTAATTTTGCAAATAAGAAATAAAAGTTTCATAAATATTTTTTTACTAATAACAATAAAATACCATATTAAACTTTAACTTACTTGTTTTAAAAAAATACATAAGCAAACCTAAAAATTGAATACTGCTTTAGAATTCTTATTTCATAGTGATAGCAATAGCAATATAGTCAAAGTGTTGTTAGTATTTTTGTTGCACAAAGAGTACAACATATCAGATATATAATACAAATCAGAAATGTTCAGTTTCTAGATTATCAGATCAGAATGCACGTGACAGTAAAATTGATTCTACGCCCTGTCAAAATCTTTTAATTGCAACTCTTCCTAAACACATATTCTAGAGGTAGTCATAGCAATGTGTATTTAGAGAGGTTTGACTATATATAAAAATGTAGATACAATAAATCTTTGACCGCTGTTTACTAAATAAACTTCTAATATTACTATATTAAACTATATTTATATTATATCCAAACAAGACAAACTATTAAAAAAAGTATACTTAACATATATAGAAGTGTAAACTTTTAGGTGCTAATTTGAATTAGTATACTTCTAAATTAGAATAAGAAGAATAAATACAATTCTTTGAATATATTGAGTTAAATACAATGAACAATTTGATCATATATGAAATAGGAAAATCTTTAACAATACAGACAGATATTAGTATTACTACAGTATATTTAAACCTATTGTATTAGTAAAAACTACCAAAATAATGTACTAATCTAGAAAAAAAAAATTATTATTAGCATAATAATAATTTCTAAAATAAAACTATAAAAACTTCAAATATACTCATCAAGTATTCTTCTAATTTTAGATATCTTCACAACGTAAAGACTAACTCAAAAAATTCGTATTATTAATACAATAACGTATTTCTAAATTAGAGCAATAAGATCTTATCAAGTATTTTAGTGTATCTAGGTATATTAAATTAAATACAGCAAAAAAATTAATTCTTGTACGAAAATCTTTTCTTGATTATAGTAATTAACAATTAAAATAGTTTTTAAAAGCACATCATATTGACAAAGCATGGCATTAACAATAAAATAAATTTGCACTATAAATTGATAGTGTAAAATTTATTTTATTGTTTTATTATATCAAAATTCTTATAAAATAGCTTCTATTTTTCTTGAAGGTAATGTATCTGCAGCTTTTTTGATATTGATATGCTATCTAAAAAGCTCTATACATGTTCAAAAATATTAAAAAAAAGACCACTTACTCCATATAACCAGAATACTGTTTTTAGTAATAAAATTTGTACTTCTTTCCAGTAAAAGTTAATAAAAATAGTGCAAGATTTTTAGCCTTCATAAAAATAACTACTATTCAAAGTACTAATAATAAAAGATACTAAAATAAATATATAAAATAGCATTTAACCCAAATTAAAAGTATTTTCTACTCAACTTATAACATCTATAACCCTGAAAATAAAAATATATCTTCCTTATATAGTACTCTAGATTATAATCAAAGATTAAACAATAATTTATTCAACTGTTTGCTTTTATATAGTAAAATTTAAGAACTTATGCTATACTCTGATGCTATGTATATTTATATTGCTAGATCAACTGAAAAAACTCAATGGTTTTCTACCCAAACTATGCCACTATCTATGTGTATCATATGGTTCTTTGGAATAGTTTCTGGCTTTTCTAAAGATACTAAAATTGGAAAAGTTCAATTCGAAAGTTATATTCAGTACAAGGAAATAGCTACTAAGCAGACCAAAACTATAATAAATGATCAATATCAGTTTTATGAAAACAGAGAGTTAGATTTTGAGTGTGTTAGTAAAGAGAGCCAATCTTAAATAAATAATAGTAGAGAGAATCAACCTGAAATAATTGAACTATTAAGTGATGAAGATCAGATGCTAGAAATAATCGAGATTTCGAGTTACAAAGAAGGCCAAACACTTGAAAACATTGAACTATTGAATAAAGAAGATCAGATACCAAAAATAATCGAGATTTCAAGTGACGAAGAAGGCCAAACACTTGAAATCATTGAATTATCAAGCAACAAAGTGTTTTTTGAAAAAGAACAAATAACTGTTTCTAGAGATCAAACTTCTGAAACAGCTGAAATAAAATTAAATCTATAACATATCTTTGATTCTATATATTTTTGTATTTATATTACTTAATTTTTCTTCTAAAACATTCTTGTTATGTTATATGAATATAAAATGATAAAATTTTAATTAGTAAAGTTCAAATTATTATTTATCTTTATATATAATATTAAAGATCTATTGCATAACTTTACAGCAATCTACTTTATAATAAAAATATCTATTTTAATTAGTAAAATAAAATTCTGATATTATTACTTTGAAAAGATGATCTTTATTAAACATCTTACATTAATGAAATTAAAAAGTGCTAAATATTACATAAGAAATTAAAAGTGAAATAAAGTTTTTTTTTTTATAATCGTTTGATATAGAGTGCAGATCTCAAAAATTTTATTATAAAAAATCTTTATTAGTGATTTTCATTATATAACCTGTACTATGTTTGTAAATCTACTAATTGTGCACACCTCAAATATAGATATAGGAAAACTTTCTCATGATTAGTTGATTACATAAATTAAAAATCACATCATGATTGGTCACTTTGCAGTCATATGTAAATTAACTAATCAAAATTTTTAAAAATTTTTATTTGTTATAAGCAATATAATACACTAATATTGATTTTATATACTAAAAATTTTGAATTTATACAATACATTAGTATTTTAAGCCAATTAAGTTAGCTACTTAGCTAGCCACTTAGCTGCTTAGCTAGCTAATAGTCTAATTAGCTAGCTAATAATAGCTAATGATATTAATTACAAAATCCAAAGTTGTATATATAACTAAAATTTATATAACAATAATATTATATAAAAAAAACTTATTATCAAGCTTAAATTCTGTTATCATTATATGTCGAATTAAAAATTTTGCATTAGATCAAAATAATTATAATGCAAAACATAGGATTTACTCTAGTTTTGATATTTTGATCTGACACAAATTCAATTTAATATATAATATATATAAGCTTTAGTAACAAATTTCTATTTAATTGAATACTTATTTGTTTCCAAGAATTTAATTTGTAATTTAAAATTCTATAATATAAAAATAGTTGAAATAATTAAAGTAAATCTGAATTTAAAAAGCTATATATATATATTTATTTATTTTAATTGATAAAGTACTATATTTACTAAATATAGACATCCTATGATTAAGTATAACATAAATTATTAGCTAAGCTGCTAAGCTATTAAAAATATAATGGCTTAGCCTAGCCATAAAAATTTAATTAGCTTGGATTACTACAATATATATATATACAACAACTTAATACTAAAAATGAACTAATATGATTTAAAAGTAGGAGGTATGAAGATCATTTTATCATATAATTTTGGTAGTACAATAAAATTTATATAGAAATTGATAAATATGCACTAATAAAACTTTTTATAGTTGTAATTAATTTTAGCCAAAATTTTATAAAATATAAATAAAATAATTTATTTATTATAATAAAATTTTAAACTATTATATCATTTAAAAAAAATATACTTATATATATTACAAAGCTTTTCTGGGTTGGTTTAAAATTTTTTGGATTAAAGAGTATAGCGATTTAGTGAAGTGGTAGAGTTGTCGCACCCCCAAATAGCAGGTCTAGAGTTCAAATCTCACAGACAATGATTTTGAAAAAACTAGATCTGTATCGGTTAATATTAAGATTATCGGTTGAATCCAGATATCTGTAATCTTGATTACACCATCTCAAATGTGAGCTTTGGTGCAATAAATTCAGGAAACTGGAATTATCAAAAACCTATTTAGTAAGTTCTGAGTTGGAAAGTAGCAGTAATCTTTCAAAGGTGCTACAGGAAGACTGAATTTGAAACTGAAGACCGAGATCGGAGAACTGAGCAACCAGGTCTTTAAGTGGAAGGACATACTAGCCAAACCACCAGCTCACCACCGAAAGAAAAGAACTTGTGCTCCAGAAGCATGTATCAAAGGGAGGAAGACCATATAGCACCTAGAACCTGGGCAAACCAACTCTTCCAGATTGCTAGCTAAAAATAAGGAAGAGACTGGTAAGGAATCCAGAAAAGAAAGAAGTTGGAACGTGGGTACTGGGGTTTAGTGTTCCAAATTGTCAAAAATTTTTAATCGATTAGTTGTCAACTAATCGATTTATCGATTTTAATCGATTATTTTATTATAAGTTGACAAAATTTTTCAATCGATTAGTTGTTTTTTTTCAAAATTTTCCAATCGATTTATCAATTAGTTGACAACTATTCGATTTTTTGATTTTTGATTTGTATCACTACTGAGGTTGTTATGAACCTTGCAAGGGCAGGAATATGTAAGTGAGAACTAATTAGAAAGGTTGTGGCTTGCGATACAGATCAGGTCATGGCAGTATCCAAAAAAATATCTTGAGATATGGACCCGATAGTGGCAGTACAACATGTACTAGTTGGAAAAAAGTTATCGAACATACAAGTGAGTATATGTATAGAACATGTACTGCTCTGTTAGGTTTACTACAAGGATAAATGCTCATGTGGCTAAAGTTTTAGAGTCATTCCATAGTATTGCTAATTTCAATAAGAGTATTAGAGTAGGCATGTTACCAAAATAGAGCCAGAGGATTTAAATAGATATCCCCCATAGTTGGATACAGATATAGCAGCTAGTATAAAACCTAGAGCAGACTACTTAAATAGATAACCAAAGGTTATATATATAGCTAGTTATACTCTTATTAGTAAAATAATCAGAGAGCTTAAATAGATAATCTTCTAGTTAGATTGCAGGTATGGTGGCTAGTATAGAACCCAGGCAAACTACTTAAATTAGGTACCAAAAGTACATATGTGGCTAGTTGTATCCTCATAAAATTGATGTAATATTATAACTATTTGAATAAAGCTACGTGCCAGAGGCCTAAGTGGTCACCTTAATATTAAGAAGAAAAAAAAAAAAAATTTAGGGGGTTATGCAAATTGCTAAATTTGATTGGCTAATCTATACTATATTAATTTTATTAAAAATTTTTATATTTAATTTTTTAAAAATTTATATCTTACTAAGTTTTTAACTAATTTTAATGATTTTACTACTATTAGAATTGAAAAAACCTGCCCTACAAACTTTTCTTAAGAATTAACTTAATACAATTTTTTATAAAATTAAATATAAAAAAATTTACTATTAAGTTAATATATAATTTTAAAATAGTACTCTCTACTCTTAATTTAGACTAAAAAATGATAATATATATTTTTTTTTTTTTTTTTTTTTTCAGTATTAAGGTGACCTCCTTGGCCTGGGGACTTTTTATTAGTAATTATTAGTTA